TTTGAGATGGAGTTTCACTCTTGTTGCCTAAGCTGGAGTGCAAAGGTGCAATCTCGGCTCACTGCAACCTCCACCTCCCAGGTTCAGGCGATTCTCCTGCCTCAGCCTCCTCAGTAGCTGGGATTACAGATGTGTGCCACTATGCCAGGCTAATCTTTTGTATTTTTAGTAGAAACGGGGTTTCACCATGTTAGCCAGGCTGGTCTCGAACTCCTGACCTCAGGTGATCCACCCGCCTCAGCCTCCCAAAGTGCTGGGACTACAGGTGTGGGCCACTGCGCCTGGTCTCTTGGCTCTATTTTAATCATTATCTTTCTCACGTTAACTCTCTAATGTCCATCATCCTTAATCTATTTTTTTATAAGAACATTTCATTATTATTCAACAATTTGGAAGCATAAAACCACATAGTGGAGTAGCCATTTCACTTCTCTTACTTACTGATCTATACTCGAGCAAGCTTGTCCAACGGGCCACATGCAGTCCAGGACGGCTTTGAATGTGGCCCAACACAAATTCATAAACCTTCTTAAAGACTTTTCTTGTAATTTTTTAAAGCTCGTCAGCTATCGTTAGTGTATTTTATGTGTGGGCCAACACAATTCTTCCAATGTAGCCCAAGGAAGCCAAAAGATTGGGCACCCCTGTTCTAGATGATTTCTATAGCTCACACCTTACTTTCAGAGAACAATTTTTTCAGAAAGAGCCATTGATGCTTCATCCTTATTAAAACCACTCACTCACTATAATGACAGTGACAGGCAACACTGTATTATAGGTTTTCCTAAAACCTGTAATACTACTTTCAGACCAGAAGACCAACTTTTCTGTGGAACTATAGAGAAAATTCCTTAGTTTTATCATTATCTCTAAAACAGAAACCGCGATAATGACAGTAGTCTCTAATAGAGAAAATAGTGGAGTTGATAAAAATTGAATTAAATCATTTTTCCTTCTCCAATTCCAGTCCTATTCAATTATTTTCTGATTCCTCAACTGTTAAGATAAGCCTAGACAGGCCAGGTACCACGGTTCACGCCTGTAATCCCAGCACTTTGGGAGGCCAAGATGGGCAGATCACTTGAGGCCAGGAGTTCAAGACGAGCCTGGCCAACATGATGAAACCCTGTCTCTACTAAAAATACAAAAATTGGCCCAGCTCATGCCTGTAATCCCAGCTACTCAGGTGGCTTATGCACGAGAACCACTTTAACCAGGGGAGGCAGAGGATGCAGTGAGCTGAGATTGTACTACTGCACTCCAGCTTGGGTGACAGAGCGAGATCCTATCTCAAAGTAAAAAATACAAGCATACAAAATGTCAAAAAACAACCACACAAAACTACTCCACCCACCTGTAATAAAACAGGTCACTTTATACCTGGCTCAGACCAGATTTTTGCTGTTGGCTAAAGAATGCTTTATGGATCAAAGGGCAGGTTGAGACTGCCTACTCATGTTCATTCCTTCCAAGCGTCTTACCATAAACATCTGCCAAGGTTATGATGAGCATGTCACTAGGTTGCATTTTATTAGTTGCTGCCAACAGCTCTTACTTCTGATGGAAAAGAATTTAACAACAAAAAAACCTCAGTATACTCCAACTTATGCTTTTTCTATGCTTTTATCACCAAATGATAGTACATCCATATATAACTCTAGATACTTGTTTTATAGTCTATACACTTGCTAGTTAAAATGTATCATAAGCCACAGTCTGTTCAGAATTACTTGGGTAAAATGCTATGTCACCTACAAACCTTCATCTGATTAATATGGAGGTTGTAATCACTATCTCAATGGTTTCTGGCTCATGAAACTTCTCATGCTTTCTATTTTCTTACTCCTGTGCTGGCTGGCTGACAGCCAAGTCCCCTGCCTCTGCCACTGCCTCAACCCATAAGCACGCTACAGTGCAGCCCAACCTTTTTTGGTCTTGCCGATCCAAGAGCAGCGCAAACCAGTTGAATCCAACTTCATCACAGTCACAGCAGGCAGGAAATTTCAAGGATCGTTAAGTTTAGAATTTGCCAACCTAAGATCAAGTTATAGGTTTTAAAGTGATTTCATTATTGCCGAAGGATAGCTTGGCTGCTGAGTGTGATTTTCCTATGTTCACATGTACCCCATGGGATTCTAAAACACAAAATCAAATCTGAACATAAATGATCCCTTGCCAGTTCTCCAAATGTCAGGCTTGTGGCAAAATAGGAGAAAGAGGCAGTGTCATTTTCAAATCATGTAAGTAGAATCTGATTCATAATCAACGTCTTCCCTATTTTTCTTTGGTCCTTCAGTCTATTATTACTGTTATTACCTTCTTTCCCACAGACAAATGGAAAATTCACACGTTTCTACTTGACATATATGGTGCAATCTTCCTTTCACACTGGCACGCACACTATGGATTTCACGAGAAGAGGTGGCAAACAGGTGAACATCTCAGAGAATGTAGCTTCCAAAAATGCTGTTTTGGGCCAGGTTCAGTGGCTCACACCTGCAATTCTAGCATTTTGGGAGGCCAAGGCAGGCAGATCACGAGGTCAGGAGTTTGAGACCAGTCTGGCCAACATAGTGAAACCCCGTCTCTACTAAAAATAAAAAAAAAAAAAAAAAAAAAAAATTAGCTGGGCATGGTGGGGAGTGCCTGTAATCCCAGCTACTTGGAAGGCTGAGGCAGGAGAATCGCTTGAACCCGGGAGGCGGAGGATGCAGTGAGCTGAGATTGTACTACTGCACTCCAGCTTGGGTGACAGAGCGAGATCCTATCTCAAAGTAAAAAATACAAGCATACAAAATGTTGGTGTGGAAAGTAAAAATAATGCAACGGTGTGAAAAGTAATGGTCTCTCATTTATTTATTTAGAGAGAGTCTCACTGTCACCCAGGCTGGAGTGCAGTTGCACAATCTCAGCTCACTGCAAACTCCATTTCTCCAGTTCAAGCAATTCTCTTGCCTCAGCCTCTTAAGTAGCTAGGAGTACACACACCTGCCACATGCCCGGCTAATTTTTATAATTTTAGTAGAGACAGGGGTTTCACTATTTGGTCAGGCTGGTCATGAACTCCTGGCCTTAACTGACCCACCTGCCTTGGCCTCCCGAAGTGCTGGGACTACAGGTGTGAGCCACTGTGCCCGGCCAGTATATTTTAAAATTATAAAGCTGATATATTACAAAGTAAAATACAGGGGAAAAAAAGTCACAAGAAGTATAAAGATTAGATGCTTTTTGTGCTTCTTTTTGTAAAATATAGATGATCCTCAAGAAGTAACTTGAGCAGATTTTCTACTGGCCTTCAAATTGACAACCTACACCGCCTATAAATTTTTACATTCCTTAACAGAGCTAACCATAGGAACTTCCAAATAATTTCTCAGAGGAAATGAGTCTTCAAAATCACACATGGCTCATAAGAGTTTTGTTTTTTTTAATGCCTTCTCAAAGGACCCAGACTGCTAGATTTTTATAATAACTACTTTAACCAGATAGGCTTACTATAGGCTGGTAGTTCCCCATTAAAAGATATTTTTCTTTTACTTAGTAGTCACTTTCCTGTGTTCTAGAGCTTCCCTATGCTTTTAAAATACGCATTATCACAACAGTTCTCCCAAAAACAAAACCACCATAAGAGTTGCTGCACTCGGGGAGCCCTGTATGAACTCTAGAGCAGCGCCTGAGTCCTGCATTCTTTCTTCATTGTCCTTTTTGCTTGATTTGCCCATGGTGTACCATCAGTCTTACAATGGAGACAGATAGAAAGTACTCCACCTAACCTATTTGAGAAACATTTGCAATATACTGTTTTACAAGTCTTTAATTAAAAAAACTCAACAAAAATATATAATTGAGCATTTTACATAATGCATACATTCTTAATATCTGCAGGTAAGATAACAGAAGGCAAAAGCAGATATACTGTATTGCTTCTTTGGCAACTCACCAATATCATCCCCTGCAGAAACATAGTTTTTTTTTTTTTTTTTTTTTTTAAATCCATGGTCTTAAAATAATTGTCCCTTAGTACAAACAACATATTTAGCAATAATACAGTAGATGGACTTTTCAAATTCACAACAATTTATAATACTTCACAAGGGTAAACTAGTAAGCTGCTTTCTAAAATTAAGGCAGCAGCAGTGTTTAGAGGGGGAGTAATAAAAAAAGACATCCTTTTTCTAGTTATATCCTGGCTCTGCCTTCTTTGTTGTTATTTTTAAATAATGTCACATTCAAGCTCTATGTCTTGGATGACACTCCTAAGGATAATAAAATCCTTTCCCTGTATATAAACCGTGTTTCACTTCCAGGTCAGTCTGACACTCTCCAACAAAACCAAATACATTTTGTATGAGGCAACACAACTATTTTTTTTTGAGATGGAGTCTCGCTCTGTTGCCCAGGCTGGAGTGCAGTATGTGATCTTGGCTCACTCCAACCTCTGCCTCCTGGGTTCAAGCAATTCTCCTGCCTCAGCCTCCCAAGTAGCTGGGACTACAGGTGCGCACTACCACGCCTGGTCAATTTTTTTTTTTTTTGTATTTTTAGTAGAGACAGAGTTTCGTCATGTTTGCCTGGCTGCTCTCAAACTGCTGACCTCAGGTAATCTGCCCGCCTCAGCCTCCCAAACTGATGGGATTATAAGCATGAGCTGCCACACCTCACCCAATTCAACTTTCTTAAGACAATATTTACCATCTAACTCAGTGTCCCAGAATTTAAAAATTCCTTATGCTTTACAGCAAAGATACATATTGTGGCTCTACTGAAGCAATATATACATGTCAGAACTAAAAATCAGAAAAGCAAAAGGGTCCACTCAACATATAGCAGCTTATATCTAAATATATACATGTATGTATATGTTTTCACAGTTAAATCTTTTAAAAAGTTTATTTTTGATATGTTCAGAAATATTTCTATTATCTATAAATAATATTTTAAAAGCTCAACTGTCAAAATGCAGTACAAGAACATATCAAATTAAATAAATCTTCTATGTCTTTAAAAACAGATAATTGAAGTCAGTAAAGCTTGAGGTTTGTGTTAAGTGTATTCTGTCAGTCCCTACTACTAGGGAAGGCAGAATCTTCTAAATACGATAGGAGAGAAACTCCAAAAGCTTGGAAGGAACTGGCAGCTCCTGGACTTCTTGGGTGGGCATCACTCTTCGGATTGACATGCGACATAAATGTTGCAGGCTAGAGACCTGCCGTGGAGTGGCCCAAAAATACACACTTCCGTCATGTGTCCTAAACAGAAACAAAGCACATGGTTAGTCACCCAGGTATATGTATTTCAATGTTGCTACAGCTCAAACAACTATCATCCAATACATGTGAGTACTGGAGTCACAAACTTCACACTAAAACCCAACTAGGAAGAACTAACCAATGATGTATTCTATAACAAGGTAACACTACTATATAAGAACACTTATTAGAATTTTACTAACAATAAACTACTAGCTGCTAAAAGCCACCTTAAGTTGCCCCTTAAAGAAAGCCAGGTGTGGTGGCTCAAGCCTGTAATCCCAGCACTGTGGGAAGCTGAGGCGGGAAGATCACTTGAGGTCAGGGTCAGGAGTTTGAGACCGGCCAGGCCAACATGGTGAAACCCCGACTCTACTGGAAAAACAAACAAACAAACAAGCAAATTAGCCAGGAGTGGTGGTGTGCACCTGTAGTCCCAGCTACTCGGGAGGCTGAGGCAAGAGAATCTCCTTGAACTGGGAGGCGGAGGCTACAGTGAGCAGAGATTGCACCATTGTATTCCAGCCTGGGGGACTTCATCTCAAAAAAAAAAAAAAAAAAAAAAAGAGAAAAATATATTTACCCAGCAGCTAAAACACTGCCATCAGTAGAGAAGGCACAGCAAAGACCATTGCTCAAAGGTGCAACTTGCACTGGATAATCCTCATCAATTCTCCAGAACCTCACCATTCTGAAAACAAAATAAATTATTTAGTTATCTTGTAGAAAATGTAAGGTAAAAGCAACTTTTTTAAAATGTAGAAAGAAACACCATTGAGTTATGAGTCACAAAATACACAAATCAGACCAACAGGCAATTATTGTAACTTGATTTATACAATTATAAAATATTTTAAGGTCTATAATACCAGTTGGTAAACTGGATAAACTTTCACTTAAGAGACTACAATGCATGGTTGCCTCTCCTCCTTCCCAGTGTTCAAACCTAGAATGTTCACACCTGGAAGCTTTCTCCTTACTTTCCTACACTTACAATACAATCAACTTCTAGTCTGTTTCACCCTTTTCCCAAGACATTTTTAAAAGCTACGTCAGCCTGGTAGCTCACAACCATAATCCCACACACTTTGGGAGGCTGAAGTGTGTGGACTGCTTGAGCCCAGGACTTTAAGACCAGCTTGGGCGACATCGGGAGCCTGTGTCTCCACAAAAATTTTTTTAAAAAATTAGCCAGGTGTGGTAGTGTACCCCTGTGGTGCAAGCTACTCAGAAGGCTGAGGTGGGAGGATCACCTGAGCCCAGAAAATCAAGGTTGTGGTGAGATGTGATTTGCCACTGCACTATAGCCTGGGCAACGAGGCAAGACCCTGTCTCCAAAAAACAAACAAACAAAAAAACAGGAAAGGAAAAAAAGCTTTTCACCTAGGCTGAATGTGTCTACAAATACAGCAGAGAACTAATATGCAGAATCTATCTGAGCAAACAGGAAAACAATGGTTGCGGACAAACAAACAAAAAAAAAACCTCTCTCCATATGTTTGCTAATATTCTGGAAAAAGAAGAGTTGCCTTATGAATTGATGTTACCAAACTACTCAATGCTATATGCATGAACACTGTAATGATAAAAGGATGTGAAAATGAGATGATTGCAACTAGTTTCTGCTTCTTACCAATAAGCAGCACATCTCATTCATGTGATATTTCTTTCACATTCTAGTCTCAATCGTGGTGGATACAAATTATTATTTATTTGTAATTCTTTTGGTTTTATTATTTGTTTCACTTTAGAAATTTCCTTTTGCTTCAACCTTTAAGACATTACTTTAAAAAATCTCTATAAGCTGGGCTAAAAGCTGACTAAAAATCAACCCACTATGCCTAAACAAGTTAAACAAGAAACACAGGGAGAGGCATGCATTATCTTTAGTTTACACAGATAATTGTTCTGGCTGATATTCTTTAAGACACAACAAAATCTCCCAGGGGGCTCGTGTTGAGGAAGAGATATTAAAACTCTTAACTGCAGAAAGGCTTTAAGGCTTCAGAATGTAAAAGGTAAAGGTAAGTCAGTCAAGCTATAATGCACATACTTACTTATCATCAGCAAGGCTTGCAATATGCAGTCCATCATGGCTAAAAGATACAGATCGTACCCACCGGTCATTTGCTCCTCCAGCAAATATTGGAGTAGGTGGGGGAAACAGGTGCCTGAGGTCAAATACATGTTTTTAGTGGATATCAGTCACTTCAAGAAAACAAAATTACCCAGGTACAAAGTACATCTGTCTTTGAATAGTGTTTAAAGTAGCCTTAGTTAATATAACTGAGAAGATTGAGTAGAAATGATACATCCAAATTAAAAGTCACCTGAAAAGAATTAATATTTTATGGCCGGGGACAGTGGCTCACGCCTGTAATCCCAACACTTTGGGAGGCCGAGGCAGGTGGATCATGAGTTCAAGAGATTGAGACCATCCTGGCCAACATGGTAAAACTGTCTCTACTAAAAATACAAAAATTAGCTAGGTGTGGTGGCACGCGCCTGTAGTCCCAGCTACTCAGGAGGCTGAGGCAGGAGAACTGCTTGAACCCAGGAGGTGGAGGTTGCAGTGAGCTGAGATCGCGCCACTGCACTCTAGCCCAGCGACAGAGCAAGACTCTGTCTCAAAAAAAAAAAAAAAAAAATATATATATATATATATATATTTTTTTTTTTTTTATGATTTAGGATAGTAAGATTAAGTCCAACTTTGGTTTTAACTGTTTTTCTCCAACAAAAACTCTAAACATAATTAGTACTTCTATAGATAGCTGGGTACTGTTAAGCAGCAAGACTTGTATCAAGACAGCCAAATTTACTTTCAGAATTTATGTCTAACGCTTTCCATTAGTCAAGGGCTTAAATAATGCCAACATTTTAAATTACAATAGACTGTAATTTTAGGTTTCATATGTTGGTGATTCTAATTAAATTATTCACATAACTTGATAAGCAGAGATGAATTATAGACTAAAATAATTCATGTTGTACCCACCCAAATTCCATTAGAATGTCTCCATTATGTGGATCCCAGATATATACTCGAGTATCGTAAGATGCAGTAGCCAGTAATGCTCCATCAGGAGAAAAGTCACAAGCTACCACATCATGGTGATGTCCTTCTAGTTTCCGTATCATGGTGTATTTATCCATATTCCAAAGGAAAACCTGCAATAAAAAGGCAAATGTTATAGCTTCATTCAGACACACAGAGGACAAAATGGCACATCTTAAACTAAAACTGCTAAATTTAATTAAGATTATATTAAGCATTATAAATTATGAGTAATTTAAAGAATACGCTCAGTGTCATAGTCAGATTAAAATCAGTCTTTAAGTTAATTAAGGCAGACATGCAAATTCTATTTCAAATGTTTCTGTTAAATGTTAATTTAAAAATAAGCCTAAACATAAAATAAAGGCAATGCAATTTAACCACAAAGCTATACTGAAATCCATTTATTCCAAAAACTAATTAACTAAAATATACGGAAATAAATAGGGTTAAGTACTACAAACCCCCTTCTCTTTTTTTCCAGAAACTACCAGATTTTTAAAAAAATATACAGACAGAAAACGTAAGGTTAACAAATTGTTACTCCATTGGCATCTCCCTTTGAGATAATCACTTGTTTACAATAGGCTTGGGTCACCAACTTGAGCCTAGGAAGAGAAACAGATACTGCAAGCAAATAGAATATTCACAGCCAAATGAAATTTCTTTGGCAAACAACAAGGATGTTAAACCACATTACAAAATGAAAATGCTATTTTATGAAAATAATACAATTACATTTCAATAAATCAAAATTTAACCATCTTATTTTTCCCAAACTGACCACAATCATAAGTCATTTGAAGTATAAAACGGTTCAATTATTTAAGAATAAGTTCACATACAATTTTAGATTTTAAAGATCAGTAGTTAACTGTGCAGAATAGCTCTAAATAGGATTCTAATGTTTACTTCAGTCTGTTATATTAAATGTGAGCTTGGAGGTTTATCCTAATAAGACAATCTCTCCTCTTGGAGTAAAGCAATCCTTTTTGCTTTTTTTTTTTTTCTGCACAGACATAATACATTATTTCTAAAAGAAAATAAGTACAAATTTTAAAATGAATCAAAGATGTAAGGTATCTCTGGAATTTTAAAGAATTCCAAAAAACAGCACAGAGAAACCATTTGAAAGCCAAGCACTTTATATTAAATTGGTTTCACTTGTCAGACTCCCAAATCCATAAAACTGGAAAATCAATTTACTCAGGAGTCAGTGAATTTTACTGTGGGGAAAATTACTTTAAAAAAGAAAAAAGAAAGAAAGAAAAGCAGAAAGTGGACATCGACCAGCACCTGTGTACGTACAGTACACCTTGCAGCCGAATGCAAGGTTACTTCATCCTATGGTAAAGGTCGCCCCCAGCCCGGTAGCCAGAGATGCCACTCTTTCTGCCCAGCTAACACCATTGTGCGCCTGTGTGCGAGTGGTGCCAGCATAACCTCAATCACACCAATATTGCTGCCACCACCTGTGACAGGGAAAGCAAGAAGCATATGGAAAACACACAGCCTAAAATAGCAATGTCAACATCTAATTTTGTTCTTCTTATGATTTGTAAAGAACTAAACTGAGTATCTTGTTTTAAACTTCCAACATTTATAACTATCACTTTAACATACTCCTTGGGTAAATAAAATGTATTTCAACTAGTCTCCCACCCCCCATTAATTCAAAGTGTATTGTAATTATCACATGTATTTGGACTTCAACCATTTTATAAATATTTTTAGCTACTGAGATCAATTTAACTACACTAACTTAGAAATGGTAAACAACTAAAAGAGTTCATCAATAAACATAACCCTCTTAACAGTCACTTTACTTAAGCTGTCTATAGGTATGCTATATAAGACAAACAGTATCAAATTTCACCTATAACTTAACTCTAGGACATACATGAGTGCTATTTTTATATTATTTTAAGTTACTTTTTTTCAGTTAAATGTACAGGACCAGCTGGGACTCAAAACTTTAAAAACAGCAAACTGGACCAAAAAAATAGAACAACAGAGAAAAAAATAATTAGCAAGGGAATGTCTTAACATATAGACTAGACCTCTTCTACAGCACATAAACTTTTCTAGACTTACCAAAACAAACAAACAAACAAACAAAAAAGAAAACCCTAATATGCCCCTCATTTTCTATTATCTCTAAAAACAATCCAACTTCTCACTTGGCAATCAATAACTATATTTAATTTCCTTCATGCAAATTCTCCCCCATCATGAAATAAAACATTTAAAATATTCATGACACCGAGCACAAACTTCATAGGTTACTTAGATTTAAAATGATTATGCACACATTATCATAATCCAATTCACAGTTAATGTACAAGAACTTTGACACATACTGCTTTACTGGCTCCGACTGAACACAGCATAGAAGAGTCAGGAGAGAATGCACAGCTGTACACCCAATTCTGATGCCCCCTCAATACTTTCATCATGTTTCCTGAACAAAAGAAACAATCTGTATTAACCCTAGAATCCACTTCAAATGAGCAGTATTTCAAAACAGCAGTAAATCAAAGGATCACAAACATTTATAGCTGAAAGTAATTTATCTGTAACAAGGGTTACTGACATACACCAGCTGCTTATTTTAAATTTTACTGGAACACAATCCTGTCCATGTGTTTACGTTGTGCTCTACAGCAGACAGCATGGTTCACAAGCCTCAAATATTTAACATCTAGCACTTCAAGAAGAAGTCTGGGGCCTGGCGCGATGGCTCTTGTCTGTAATTCCAACACTTTGGGAGGCTGAGGTGGGTGGATCGCTTGAGGCCAGGAGTTCGAGACTAGTCTGGCCAACAGGGTGAAACTCATCTCTACTAAAAAAAAAATTAAAAAAATTAGCCAGGCATGGTGGCGCATGCCGGTAATCCTAGCTACTTGGGAAGCTGAGGCACAAGAATTACTTGAACCTGGGAGGCAGAGGCTGCAGTGAGCTGAGATGGCACCACAGAACTCCAGCCTAAGTGACAGAAAAAGTCTGGGACACCCTAGCCCCACCCCATCTACAGAAGACCAAATTTTTAGTTCAATCCCCTTATTTTAAAAGTTAAGAAACTTGACCATCTTCAAAATGCCTTTTCATTCTTCCTTTTTGAAAACCTACAACCCACTCCAAAGTCCTTGTGTATTATGCCCACAGCACACAGCTATGCTTAAGTATACTGAACTCTTAGTTTTACAAAAACTTACTGAGTGCCTATGCATGCCAGGCCCTATGCCGGCACTGAGGATATAGCTGGAGATAAGGCAAGGACCCCACTATCTTGGAGCTTATATTTTACTAAGCCTATGTTCTTAAAACATGTACATTGCTGAAATTAGTTTGAGATAAGCAAGCATCATTCGATATGCAAAAGAAAATAAAAATTATTAAAATATTTCAATTGTTGGGATCCCTTTGCACCTCAACGGCTGAGCAGATAAAATGCAGAAAAGGTCCTTCATGACTTGTTAATGTTAGCATAGTACTTTATTAAGGAATGGTTACTATTTATCAGCTGGAACATTTCCAGATCCGAGGGTTTTGTTTCCTACTAATTCAATTAAAGCTTTATTACCCCTAGGCAAGCCTGTTAACCTCTAGCTTGAGGCTGTTAGAGCACCAACAGACCTTAAATTTAAGGTTTTAGCTAAACATATAAACTCTTTCATTAGGGACTAAGAAAGGGGAAGAGATGCTCATCTCAAATGAGGTAGCATCTCCAAAACTTTGTAAGGCTTAGAGAAAGGTGAGTACTTGACACCAACATATCTTTCTATTGTATTGGACAGTAAATCTTTCACTTTTTATAAAAGTATTTCTTAACCTAGCCAATTTATTATAATGTTTACTAATATTTACATATTATAAATTCTGGCATGTAGGTCATGTTTTAATTAAAATTTTATTAGATACTAAGTTACTTCAAGATCTACCTAAATTTTCCCTAAGCCAATGCAATAAGTTAATAACCCTCCCTAAGGGGACATAAACAGACTGGTTCCATAAAACCCTAAATCTGATCCATATTTGGTCCTCAGATAGTTGATACAGATCTATGAGTTTCTGAATAATATCAGATCATTTACTTCGAATAACTGTTGGCTCCTACTCTGGGTCATGTTTATGTTTTTCTTTGATCTATTCAGGAAAAGAGCCAAAATGTTAGGCAGAGAAAAGGAACTTTGATCACATGCCATTTTTAAAGTCAAATGCCCCAAATGTTCCCAATACCTCTCAACAGTAATATCAAGAAACGAATCCTAGTTCATAGCTTGGAAAAAAAGACATACCATCATCTTTCAGGTCCCACACTCTGAGAGTTTTGTCTCTTGAAGCTGACACCAGGATCAAGCTTCCATCTGGAGCAAAAGTTAAATCTCTGACCACTTCAGTATGATCTACCAAGTTAAGGAGGAGTTTTCCTAAATATGATAGAAAAGGGAGAAAAAAGACAGTATTAATATGTTTTTGTTTTGTTCTTATTTTTCTTGAGACAGGGTCTCACTCTGTCACTCAGGCTGGAGTGCAATGGCACAATCTTGGCTCACTACAGCCTCAACCTCCTAGGTTCAAGCAATTCCCCTACCTCAGCCTCCGAAATAGTTGGAACTATAGTTACAAGTCACCATGGCTCGCTTTTTTTTTTTTTTTTTGTAGTGATGGAGTCTCACCATGTTGCCCAGGCTGGTCTAGAACTCCTGGGCTCAAGTGATCCCCCAGTTTTGGCCTCCCAAAGTGCTGGAATTACAGGCATGAACTTTAAAATATAAAATCAAATTATTTCTTTGCTTGTTATTTCCCTGGCCTAGGAAAGTTAAGCTCCCCAAAAGATACGTGTTATCCCACAACAACTTTGGTTTTCTAACATGATTCCAGTGCAAAAAATGTATTTAAATAATACTGTAAGAGCTTTATTTTCTAAGAAAATCTATGTGTTCATCTTACTTTTTTCAAGAACCCAGATTTTGACTCATTATCACCTATGTTAGTATCACTTGTTATGTTCTAATGTACATGTTGTTTTAATGCTTCTTTAAAAATCCTTTACATTTTTGAGTAATATTATATGCCAGAAAGTGTTTTAGGCAATAAGCAACACATTGATTTTTAGTTGCCCAAAGAATTTAACTTCTCAACCTATCTAAACTTTCACTAAACCTTTCCAAGTTGAGATAATGATTGTTGAAATTTGATTTACCTTGAAAACCTCTAAGCTATTAATCATTGAAAAAGTACAAAGAAAACACCTTGACATGTGAGTCATTAACTAAGTAACTAGGTTATAAAGGACAACTAATTAAACATTCCCTAGAAAAGCCTTTCCTACTATACTACTCTCTAAAGAGTGATGAAGCAATATCATTTCCCTAAATTAAAATGATGAGCTGAAGAAGGTGATATTCAGGTCAATTATAAAGACACACTTATGCCATCAATTCTTGCTTTTCAGTAAGCTGAAATCCTCAAATCCTAATTCCAGTGCCTATGAGTAGTGCCCTGCATCACAAAATAATACATTTGCTTTAAAAACTATGAATCCATACCTGTATATACATCCCATATTTTGATACGCCCATTGTTCAACCCTGTAGCAAGAAGTAGCTGATCTTGTCCAAATCTGAAGCGATGCCATTCTATATTTACACAGCGACTCTGTTTTTCTGGAACTGACGACCCAAAAGCAAGACTCCAGACTATATCTCCACAGTCTATAATATGTTCACGAGGCTTATTTTTCTGACCACCATCACTATTTTGTCTTGGCAATCTTAAACTGCTTGAATTGGTAACATTCTTGGTGCCATGCAAGAGACTGGGGTGGGGGAAGTCAGATGGAAATTGTATTATTATTTACTCTGGACTCCTCTGGACATTGAATAATTACAACCGTTTGTTAAAATAACCTCAATGTTATTATAATGACACCAAATAACAATAGAATCCTATAGATAGGAAGGGAAAGGTTGATATTTGAACTACGAGAGAAGGACCGAATAAATTCAGGTCATTAATAGAAATTCTCAGTGACTGAGTAGTAAGTTCAACAATAAAGCAATTTATATTATAACTTATTTGCCTCCCAAAATTTCCTAAAAACCACCGTATCAACTGGTGCTCCCTTCAACCTAAAAACACAAATATAAATAAGCAAAAACCAACCAACCAAACAAAAAAACCCCAGTAACTTAAGATATGGTCAAGCTGATATCAGAAAATTGCCTTAAGGGAGGAAAAAAAAATCCTCAAACCATGATCAGTTTCCCATAGGTTCTAGACCTCAAGTAATACATAATGAGAACATTAGTGACTATAACCATGAAGGTCTACTAGATACAAAAAAAAACAGGGAAAGATCCAATATAGCATATTATACATTTTAGAAAAACATTCAACAAACATCCAAACTCAATTTACCCCGAGCAGAGGGACCATAAGTCCATTAAAAACAAAAACAACAACAACAAAAGCCCAGGCTCAGTGGTTCACGCCTGTAATCCTAGCACTTTGGGAGGCTGAGGAGGGTGGATCACCTGAAGTCAGGAGTTCGAGACCAGCCTAGCCAAAATGGTAAAACCCCTGTCTCTACTACTATGCATCAGAGTTATCCAACAACATGTTATAAAATCCAAGTGAATCCAAAAAGCTTCACATCACAGAAGTCACGTGCTCTGGCACAACACTATATATATGCATTTGTTAGACACAATCTAACTTTAATGTACAGAAAAACTTAATGTATAAATAAGATCAGACAATTCTTTTTTTCTTTTGAGACAGAGTTTGGCTCTGTCACCCAGGCTAGAATGCAGTGGTGCTATCTCGACTCACTGCAACCTCCGACTCCTGGGTTCAAGCAATTCTTCTGCCTCAGCCTCCTGAGTAGCTGGGACTACAGGTGTGCCACACCATGCCCAGCTAGTCTTTGTATTTTCAGTAGAGATGGGGTTTCACCACATTGGCCAGGCTGGTCTCAAACTCCCGACCTCAAGTGATCTGCCTGCGTTGGCCTCCCAAAGTGCTGGGATTACCGGCCTGAGCCACTGCGCCCGGCCCAAAGAATTCTTTACACAAAATTTCCAATAAATATATTCAGCCCATGACTAAAACTCACAACACCATCTATAAAGTAAAACTTAAATATCAAAATGTTTTTATTACCCTACACTGAGAGAAAATAGTAAATTCCACAAACAGATACAAAATACAGAAAAGAAAAAGTCTTACAAGTTCTGAAGGCACTGGGACCACGGAACAAGTTTTACTGTGCGATGTCCTTGTGACCAAGCAAAGTATGAACCATCTGGAGCAAAAGCAACAGTCCAATTTTCACGACCACATTTCTTGTCAAAAGGAGCTGCAGGAGCTAAAAGTTCACCTATAGTACGTGATCTCACTAAAAGGAAAAATAAAAATACTTAATATCATATATAACCAACAATACATGTGAGACTGCTTCCATATTACTTTGGGATTGAGTTTCTTCCCTCTTCTATGCAAAGTATAATGAGTTCTGCATTCCATCCTCTAACCGGGGGTATGCAGTATATGAAGACTCCTTAATGATAATGACTATCTCCAAGTTTTGATAAAGCGATTTCCCTAAAATTTCCCAATACAAGAGTTTTTAAGAAAGTTTCAGTAAAAAAACTGGTCAAGTAATAATAATGTGATGACCAATTAGACTTAACAATTATAAAAGTCCTAACTTTTGCATTGTATTATGTTCTCATCAAATTATTAACATTTAAAATGCAAGAAATTAAACTTAGTTGGCAAGAAAAGTATCTTCCAAATTAAATTTCTTAGCTTTCAAAAACTATACCTCACTATAAAATACAATATTACACCATTACTCAAAGGAAAGCACTATAAAATATGCTATCCAAACAAATATTTGTATCCTTTTCAGGCCCAGGTCATAAAAATCACAAAACCCTCAGAACTAGAACAGACTTAAAGGTTGTCTAGTCCAACCAGTGCTTTAGAAATGCATTATAGGCCGGGTGTAGTTGCTTACACCTGTAATCCCAACATTTTGGGAGGCTGAGACAGGTGGATCACTTGAGGTCTGGAGTTCGAGACCAGCCTGGTCAACATGGTGAAACCCTGTCTCTACTAAAAATACAAAAATCAGCAGGGCGTGGTGGTGGGCACCTGTAATCCCAGGATGAGGTAAGAGAATTGCCTGAACCCAGGAGGCGGAGGTTGCAATAAGCCAAGAAAGTGCCACTGTACTCCAGCCTGGGTGGAGTGAGACTCCGTCTCAAAAAGAAAAAAGCTAAAATAAAAGAAAATGCATTATAGCTGGGCATGGTGGTATGCTGGAGCATGCGTGTAATACCAGCTTCTTGGAAGGCTGAGGCATAAGAACTGCTTGAACCTTGGAGGTGGAGATTGCAGTGAGCCAAGACTGCATCACTGCACTCCAGACTGGGTGACAAAGGAAGACTCTGTCATTAAAAAAAAAAAAAAAAAAAAAAGAAATAAAACCAAAATGCATTATATTTGTGATTCTCAAATAGTGGTCCTTAAGAGTCTTCCTAATGGGCCTTACACTGACTCAAAAATGGAAGTATTTTGTTTTTTAAGGACAAAAAATGGACAATTTTAAATTCAGATTACTAAAATTTTGTATTCCTAACAAAAATTGGCATATTACCAGAGTATATGGAGAATACTACTTCCATATTTAACAAGCATGATCAACAAGCTCATACTGCAATGTATGCATGCAAACTCAGTTAGAATTTCCTCAATTTGGGGAAAGGAGCTTCTTTATTAGTGTATCGCCTATTTTGGGTTGGTCTTAATTTTCCCTATTATCTATTTTGTGGTCAGTTGTCTGGTCAATTGCACAGTGTATAATAATATATTTTTAAGTATTTCTGGTTTAAACTTTCCAACACCTAACCTTTAATATAGTCTATGTATTGCTGTTCATGTAAGAACCACTTACACTGCTATAGTTAGAGAACCTGGACATGGACACATACATACATACACATACACATACACACACACATACACACACACACACATCCCCCAAAACGTACTTGTTCAGTTTGAATGTATGCTCCGACAATAGCTAGTATAGCACCTGGCATATGACAGGTGCTCAGTAAATATTTATTGAATGAATATGAAAGCACACATTTATGTTCCCATTCTACAGTGATTTAAATATGTTATCTGTCCAACTCTTGACACCTTAACAAATAGGTGTGGTTTTTATGATATTCATAATTAGGCTTACACTATTTTGGTGCAACTGAGACGGCTTTTAATGACTCAAAGTCTTCCTCCTACCACTCTACCCACTCAGTACTGATTCTGACCTAAGAGAATAAGCCTACTGCTATCCTCATAACATTTATATATTGAAGATAGCCATGAATGAAATCTTTTTACCAGGCTAAAAGATCTCTATCCTTCCAATCATACCTTAGATCACATGGTTTCAAGTCCATTTCCCATCCTAACTTCATCATACCTTTCTGGATAAATTCTAGTTAGTAGTGGCCCTCATCAAAGTGGCACCCAGAACTAACCACAATACTTCAGGTGTGGTTTAATCAAAGCTGCAGAGTCCCTCACCCACCCGCCCACCCCGTATAAGCACAGCTTAAGATGACATTAACTTTACTGGCAGTCACGTAACTTTCTGTTTTCTTGAGTCAGGGTCTCACTCTGTCACCCAGGCTGGAGTGCAGTAGCACAATAACGGGGCACTGTAGCCTCGACCTCCCAGGCTCAGGCGATCCTCCTGCCTCGGCCTCCCAAGCAGCTGGGTCCACAGACATGCACCACCACACCCAGTTAATGTTTTTATTTTTGTAGAGGTAGGTTCTCCCTTTGTTGCCCAGGCTGTCTCAAACTCTTGGGCTCAAGTGATCTTCCCATCTTCAGCCTCCCAAAGTACTGGGATTACAAGTGTGAGCCACTAACTTTCTTAATACAAAATTCACAAACTTAGTGACCCTCAAATGCCTGCAGATACTTTTAACATACAAATGATTTCAGAAACAGCATGCTGCTCAGGTTTCCTTATATTTTTCCAAATCCACAGCCTTATTTGTTCCTTTTACCAGGGTTCTTTATATGCCTGGCCTCTGAATTTGCAACCCCTGCCTGCCTAATTTTTTTAGACAGGGTCTTGCTCTGTTGCCAAGGCTGGAGTGCAGAGGCAAACTCGTAGGCTTAAATGATCCTCCTGCCTCAACCTCCTGAGTAGCTATAGCAGGGACTACGGGCACATGCCCCCACACTTGGCTAACTTAAAAAAACAAAAACAAACTTTTTTCCTTTTTTTTAAGACAGAGTCTTGCTCTGTCACCCAGGATGGAGTACAGCGGCTTGATCTTGGCTTACTGTAACCTTCGCCTCCTGGGTTCAAGCAATTCTCCTGCCTCAGCCTCCCAAGTAGCTGGGATTACAGGCATGCACCACCACACCCTAATTGTTATTATTATTTTTTGTATTTTTAGTAGAGACAGGGTTTCATCATGTTGGTCAGGCTGGTCTTGAACTACTGATCTCGTGATCCACCTGCCTCAGCCTGCCAAAGTGCTCGGATTACAGGTATGAGCCACCGCACCCGGCAAAAAACCAATTTTTTATAGATAGGGTCTTGCTATGTTGCCCAGGCTGGTCTCCAGCTTCTGGCCTCAAGCGATCCTCCCATCTTGGTTTCCCAAAATGGGGAGATTAAGGCATGAGTCACTGCATCAGGCATATTTTTTTTTAACTTGGATTCCTGTTTAACCACATCTATCTTTTAAAACTCATAAATTTTAGGAGGGAAAAAAAATGCTAAGTTCACATATAAGGGAAGCAAGTTTAAAATTCAACTTAAAAGTCTCTACAGAGAATATTTATGTAACTTGTATACGATGAGGAAGAGCCCTTGCATTCAATTTCAAGAACATCTAGTAAATGAGACTAAAATTAAGCTCTCCCTTAGCAAGCATAAGAGAGACTAAATTTCTCATACAAGATTTTCTTTTTTTTTTTTTTTTGAGACAGAGGCTTGCTCTGTTGCCCAGGCTGGAGTGCAGTGGCATGATTTCTGCTCACTGCAACCTCCGCCTCCTGGATTCAAGCAATTCTCCCTGCCTCAGCCTCCCGAGTAGCTGAGATCATAGGTATGTACCATCATGGTGCCCACCACCACGCCCAGCTAATTTTTGTATATTTTGGTAGAGATGGAGTTTCACCATGTTGGCCAGGCTGGTCTTGAACTCCTGACCTCAGGTGATCTGCCTGCCTCAGCCTCCAAAAGTGCTGGGATTACAGACATGAGCCACCGTGCCTGGTCTAGATTGTATTTTAAGGTTACTCTATATTTTTCTTCTACCTTGACCACAATCATGGAACGCCTTGTGTACAGTGGTAATAGGACAGGCATACTGGTAATCCCAACACTCTGGTAGGCCAAGGTGAATGGATCACTTGAGCCCATGAGTTTGAGACCAGCCTAGGATATATAGAGTACCTCGTCTCTACAAAAAATTTTAAAAATTAACAAGGTGTGATGGCATGCACCTGTAGTCCCAGGCTGAGGTGGCAGAATTGCTTGAGCCCAGGAGGCAGAGGTTGCAGAGAGCCAAGATTTCACCACCACACTCCAGCTTGGGTGACAGAGCAAGACTCTGTCTCAAAAAAAAAAAAAAAAAAAAAAGAGTAGGCCGGAGGCAGTGGCTCACGCCTGTAATCCCAGCACTTTGGGAGGCCGAGGAGGGTGGATCACCTGAGGTCAGGAGTTTCAGACCAGCTTGGCCAACACGGTGAAACCCCCCTTCCCCCGTCTGTACTAAAAATACAAAAAATAAGCCGGGTGTGGTGGCATGAACCTGTAATCCCAGCTACTCGGGAGGGTAAGGCAGGAAAATCGCTTGATCCTGAGAGGTGGAGGTTGCAGTAAGCTGAGATTGCACTACTGCACTCCAGCCTGGACGACAGAGCGAGACTCAGTCTCAAAAGGAAAAAAAAAAAAAAAAAGCAAAAGAGCGGTAACAATTACTAAAAAATTGGTTCGGATAGCAGAGACAATGAAATAATAACATATTTATAACATAATTCTCAAATATATACAAACTCAAGAAATAGAGCCATTATAAAACCTGCCAAATAAATGCATTAATCTGTTAAAAATTACTAATAATTGTCTTGATTGTGTTTCTTTGCTGGATAACAGGTATATCAAATTGCCTTTGGCACTTTAATAAAACGTTTTAAGCACTCAATTTAAATACTGGCACAATTTTACAAACCTAGCACAAAGTTTGTAATAAAGTGCTTTGAAAAAAAATTTTTAAGTTAAACCTTTATTACATTATCTGTAACTGTTTAATGTTAGCTACAGAAATGTATGATTTAATGACCTTGTTAAGGGAAAGGCTGCCTGCCACGGGAAATCAGCCATAAGATACAACACTACATTATTAATATCTGTAAAATAATAACATATCATCTGAGTCACTGCTGAACCAAGCAAATCAGATTTAGCTCCTTCTTTACATTCCTCCCCAAAATTTCATAACCAGAAAGGGACAATCTATGGCTGTGCCTTGCGAAAGAGGGCAGTAGCATTATACAGAATTATTTGATCATTCATGGAATCTTGCCTCTACTCTCTGTATGTCCTCGAGAAATTAAACTTGGCTTGGCTTTTAATTAACACCCAAGAAAAGAAAAAACGTAAATCCTTAATCATAGATTTAAAAAGCTACACAGGAGAAATGTTTAACCTTGTACTAGTAACTTTTTATACCATATCCAGGAAATAACACTGAGACTTAAATACGAAAAAAAAAAAAAAGAAAGAAAAAAGAAAGGAAAAGAAAAGAAAACCAGGGGCTGGCGGGGGAACACTTAGTGGATGGTTCTACTTTATGTAGGTATGCTATCCATCTCTTAGAAAACAGAACCGGAAATCCGGGCGCGGGGGCTCAAGTCTGTAATCCTAGCACTTTGGGAGGCAGAGGCGGGCGGATCACCTGAGGTCGGGAGTTCGAGACCAGCCCGACCAACATGGAGAAACCTCATCTCTACTAAAAACACAAAAATTAGCCGGGTGTGGAGGCGATGCCTGTAATCCCAGCTACTCGGGAGGTTGAGGCAGGAGAATCGCTTGAACCCGGGAGGCGGAGGTTGCAGTGAGCCAAGATGGTGCACTCCAGCCTGGGCAACAAGAGCAAAAACTCCGCCTCAAAAGAAAAAACAAACAAACAAACAAAAAACAGGACCGGAAAGTTTTCAAAATGGTTTATCACGATGAAAGTAAAATACAGATTAAAAAAAAAGGCAGATTACTCGTCTATAACATTAAGGTGTAGTGAAGTAAGTAAAAGAAAAACCCACTGAACTGATTAAGAACTTTTGAGTTCTTTGTCCCACTTCGCGACATACTTTCTAGTCTTAAAGTACACTTAAAATAATAACTGGACACAAATTTTGTGTTCTTTGCATCTTTTTTTTCTTTTTTCTGTGTGAACTCCGCTGCAATTTTTTTCCTTTTTTTCTGTGTTTGTATCTTTAAAAATGGTTATTAAAACCAGGGTTAAAGTCCCTTCCTAATCAATCATCCCTAAGACAACAAAAGTCCAGAATTCTAAAACAGCTGTTTCTAGATATAAAAATTCACCCACATAGAAAAGAGTGGGCGTTTTGGCTACTTCAGCCTCTTTCCTTCTCTAGAAATAACTCCTCCTTGTACTTAGTAAAGGCACACATTCACTTCAAGAAAATGTAAATGCTCTCTGCTCAGTGGCCACAGCTAATTATTACTTAACACAGTAAGATCAGTGTTTGCTGAGTGTGTCAGCCAATGTACAGCACCCCCAACACATCAAACGTTGTTCCAGTTATTTTACTTTAAAAGAGGATTTAAATAATGCGACGTGCATTATTTAACCACTAAGTAGGTGTGGACGCACAACCTTCAACACTAATTGCCCTTTACTCGGCCGGCCAGGGGTACACACTAAGCCAGAAAAGCCTTTCCAGAGTTTCCTCTTCCGCACAAAAGCTTTCCTTCGGTCACTCCACCCAACCGCCCAGCTCCTCCCTTATGTGTTTGAAAGATAATTCTGAAAGAGTCTCCTCCCCCGAACCGCTGCGTTTCTTAACGCCACAACATTTTTAAAAATACCGTATTACTTTTGCCAGGCTATTGGGACCTCTTCCGTCTCATTTCTCATCTAAGTGTGGTTGGTACACACGAGGACCCCCTCCTTTCGTTACCGCTCGGAATCCACAAGTTTACTTTTCCCCACTGTAAACCTAAAGCCCCTGAGTGGCCCTTCCCTGTCCACTCGACAGTCAAGTCCTGAGCCAGGAACTCCCAGGACAAGAGCCCTGCGCGGACCTCCGACGAAGAAACCGGGGTCCGTGCCCGCCCCAGCCACACACTAACTGCGAGGGAGCACAGTAGGTGCTGCATCCACGTCGGTGGCGTTTACCCGCCCCCTCCCACCCCCCCACCAACTCCTATCGAGGCGGCTTCCTCCTCCTCGCTCTTGGGCTGGCCCTGGCGCACCTCGGAGTCGCTTCCTCCTAAACCTCCTCCGTTGGGTCCCTGCCTTTCCCCGGCCCTCACGCGCCCACCCACGGTCCCAATCCTCACCGATCTCTTTCTCGTTGACCCTCGGGGGAAAGCTGGCCATCTATGGGGCACCGTCTGATTCCGGGAATACGATGCGGACCCAACGACAGAGAAGAGAGTGGCGAGCGCTGAGGGGTGTGACTAGGGGTTGGTCCCTCCCCGGGCCGGGGCAGCGGAGACGGGCGGGGGCGGCCGCTGCGGCTTCTGCTAACTGCCCCGGGAAAGCTCCCGAAGGCCTCAGACCAAAGTACGGAGTCAAACACAGACAATAGACCCTGTACCCAGCCTCGCGCCTGCGGACCAAGTCAGTTCCCCCAACGCTGCCGACCGCAAACGAGACACTGAAGTCAAAATGGCGGGCGGCGCGGGAGATAACTGGGCGGCAGGGGCGCGGCCACGTGACGTCAGAACCCGTGGCTCCGCCTCCCAACGCACGGGACGTGATCTCCGGGGCCCGGCGCTAGCGCGCGGGTGTTACCTGGGGGCCTTGCAAGGGGAGATCCAGCCCAGGCTGGGTCCGCTGACTGTGCCTGTAAGCCTGTGGCGTCTTCTGGGCTTGGATGTCTGATATGGAGTTTATAAGCTGAAGTGCCTTTGAAAAGGGCAAGCAGAGAATTGTATTATTAGCCTTCTAGCTTAAAGATTGCATGGAACTTAAACTGGCTGAACGGAAAAGAACAAAAAGACATTTCAAGTTTTCACTCAGTTTGGCCAACTCCCCAGCCCACAAGTACTGGGGAACTGGGCTACCCTGATGAAAAAGATAGGATTAAAATTAACATCGTTGTGCACCACCTGTCCAGCTACGATTGTTCGGACCTGAGCCAGCAGGTTTTAGGAAGGGCCGAGGGGAACGAGGAGGAGACTCTGGTGTGATCGCCTGCAACGCGCCGCGAGGCCTCCGTGGACCGCCTTTGTCATGGCTGGTGCCTGCAGCCTGATGGGCTGTGTAGGAGCTGGTTGTCCCCAGAGTCCCGACCGCTGGCCAAGATAGATCCCACTGTGTCAGCTCAGAATTGGTACTTCCTGCGCCTTACCTGAAGGCCTCTGGGAGGCCCCTGGTTGTCTGCACATCAGACTGATAAATGTGTCAGTGTCTGCCAGATGCCAACTTGGTTCCTGGTCACAGATGACATATTTGCATTTTAGTGGCTTCTTGTGTGAACCCTAAACATTGCAAAGGACTGGGGCGTATGAGACTGGTGTCTCATGTGTCCATGTGCAGATACCACCAAACAGGCTTTGTGTGAGCAACAAGGCTGTTTATTTCACCTGGATGCAGGCGGGCTGAGTCGGAAAAGAGTGTCAGCAAGGGTGGTGGGATTATCATGAGTTCTTATAGGTTTTGGGATAAGGCGGTGGAGTTAAGAGCAAAGTTTCAGGGACAGGGGGTGGATATCACAAAGTACATTCTCAAGGGTGGGGAGAATTACAAAGAACCTTCTTAAGCATGGGGGAGATTATAAAGAACTTAAGGGTAGGGGAGATTGCAAAGTACATTGATCAGTTAGGGTGGGGCAGAAACAAATCACAATGGTGGAATGTCATCAGTTAAGGTTATTTTCACTTCTTTTGTGAATCTGCAGTTGCTTCAGGCCATCTGGATGTATCCGTGCAGGTCACTGGGCATATGATGGCTTAGCTTGGACTCAAGAGGCCTGGCATTCCTGTCTTCTTATATTAATAAGAAAAATGAAACAAAACAGTGGTAAAGGATTGGGGTGGCGAAAATTTTGGGGGGTGGTATGGAGAGATAATGGGTGATATTTCTCAGGGCTGCTTCAAGTGGGATTAGGGGCGATGTGGGAACCTAGAGTGGGAGAGATTAAGCTGAAGGAAGATTTTGGGGTAAGGGGTGATATCATGGGGTTGTTAGAAGGAGCATTTGTCACACAGAATTTTTGGTGATGGCCTGGATGTGGTTTTGTATTGTGTCCAGAATTGGTGGTTCTTGGTCTCACTGACTTCAAGAATGAAGCCGCAGACCCCTCGTGGTGAGTGTTACAGTTCTTAAAGATGGCGTGTCTGGAGTTTGTTCCTTCTGATGTTCGGACATGTTTGGAGTTTCTTCCTTTTGGTGGGTTTCTGGTCTTGCTGGCTTCAGGAGTGAAACTGCAGACCTTCGTGGTAAGCGTTACAGCTCTTCAGGCGGCGCATCTGGTGGTGTTTGTTCCTTTTGTCGGGAGTTGTTCATTCCTTCTGGTGGGTTCGTGGTCTCGCTGGCCTCAGGAGTGAAGCTGCAGACCTTTGCAGCGAGTGTTACAGCTCATAAAGGCGGCCTGGACCCAAAGAATGAGCAGCAGCCAGATTTATTGCAAAGAGCAAAAAAAGAACAAAGCTTCCACAGTGTGGAAGAGGACAGCTGGTTGGCTCAAGGAGCCTGCTTTTATTCCCTTATCTGACCCCACCCGCATCCTACTGATTGGTCCATTTTACAGAGGGCTGATTGGTCTATTTTACAGAGAGCTGATTGGTCCATTTTACAGAGAGCTGATTGGTCCCTTTGGACAGAGTGCTGACTGGTGTGTTTGCAATCCTTTAGCTAGACACAGAGTGCTAGACAGAAAAGTTCTCCAAGTCCCCACTAGGTTAGCTAGATACAGAGTACCCATTAGTGTATTTACAAACCTTGAGCTAGACACAGAGTACTGATTGGTGTATTTACAAACCCTAAGTTAGATACAGAGTGCTGATAGGTGCGTTTACCATCACTTAGCTAGACATAAAGGTTCTCCAAGTCCCCACTGGACTCAGGAGCCCAGCTGGCATCACCTAGTGGATCCCAGGCCAGGTCCACTGGCGGAGCTGACCACCAGTCCCTTGCCGTGCCTGCACTCCTCAGCCTTTGGGCGGTGGATGGGACTGGGTGCCATGGAGCAGGGGCATGCCAATCGGGGAGGCTCTGGCTGCGCAGGAGCCCACAGCAGAGGTGGGAAGGCTCGGGCATGGTGGGCTGCAGGTCCTGAACCCTGCCCTGCAGGGAGGCAGCTGAGGCCTGGTGAGAATTCGAGCACAGTGCCAGCAGGCCGGCACTGCTGGGGGACCTAGTACACTCTCTGCAGCTGCTGGCCCAGGTGCTAAGCCCCTCACTGCCCGGGGCCAGTGGCACCAGCCAGCACTCCAAGTGCAGGGCCCACGGAGCCCACACCCACCCGGAACTTGTGCTGGCCGGTGAGCGCTGTGCACAGCCCCAGTTCCAGAGGGAGCTGGCTCTGGCCTCGACCAGCCCAGAGAGGGGCTCCCAGAGTGCTGTGGCAGGCTGAAGGACTCCCCAAACACTGGCAGAGTGGACGCTGAGGCCAAGGAGGCACCGAAAGCGAGGGCTGCTAGCATGTTGTCACCTCTCAGTATGAATTGAGAAACTAAACGAAAGACACAAGATCCGAATAAGAGAAGGAAAAAAAAAAAAGGTATTAAAGGACTAAGAATTGGGAGTACCCAGGACATCCAATTAGAGTGTCCAAGGGGGTTCAACATTATTGTTTGCTTGGTTGGAGCTTTTTTTGGGCTCTATCCTTGAGTTTTTTTATGTTGTCTTATAACAGGTCAGAATGATTTAGGTAAAAACAACACTCTGTATTTAAAAACATACAGAGTCCTCTTTTTTTAGCAGTAAGTTGAGGCCTTGATGATTTTGGAGGAAAGAGAAATGGAAAGCTAGCAATTGTTTGTTAAAGAAGGATTAGAAACGGCTAGGAGAGAGTGACTGAGACTGATAGTGTGGTGGAGATGGCTGGGGAGAGGTAGAGGGTGGCATAAGAACAGGAACGAGAATAAGAGTAAGTATAAAAGTAAAGAATAGAACTTCATCAGGGTGAAAGTATTGGAGGGTACCTTGCACTGAAGATCTTCTACCTACTTTAAGAGAGACTTAAAGGTGGTGATTTAAGGTAAAAACAGGAGCCACTAAACACCAAGAGCCTGAGGAACTGCTTGGGTGATTTGACTAATAAAAGCTGGTCCGTTATTGGACTGTATAGAGGTGGGAAGGCTAAACCAAGGAATTATGTCTGACAAAAAGGGAAGAAATGACTGTGGTGGCCTTTTCAGACCACCCTTCTCAGATGGCCTCTACCCATCCAGTGAAAGTGTCTACCCAGACCAAAAGGTATTTTAGTTTCCTGACTCGAGGCATGTGAGTAAAGTCAATTTGCCAGTCCTGGGCAGGGGCAAATCCCTGAGCTTGATGTGTAAGGAAGGGAGGGGGCCTGAATAATCCCTAAGGAGTAGTAGAATAGCAGATGGAACACTGAGAAGTGATTTCCTTGAGGATAGATTTCCATGATGGAAAAGAAATGAGAGGCTCTAAGAGGCAGGCTAACGGCTTGTAACCTACATGGAAGAGGTTATGAAATGACGATAGAATAGAATGGGCCTGTGAGGCTGGAAGGAGATATTTTCCTTGGTCCAAGAACCATTTGCCTTGTGTGGGAAGAGATTGATAGGCGGACGTTTCAGTGGGGGAGTAGGTGGGAGTGACCAGATGAGAAGGAGAAAAACTGCCGTGAGGGATAGAAGTTGGAATGCTAGCTGCTTTTTTAGTTACCTTATCAGCATAAGTGTTGCCCTGAGCTATGGGATCTGATGCCTTCCCTGAGTGATGGGATCTGATGCCTTTTGATGGCCCTTGCAGTGTGTTACTCCAGCTTCCTTTGGAAGTAAAGTGGCCTGGAGAAGAGTTTTGATTAAAGAGGAATTAATGACAGAGGACCCTTGCATAGTGAGGAAACCTTTCAGCCCATAAAACAGCATGGTGGTGCAGGATATGGGGTCAGTATAAATATTGACACGTAGTCCTTTTACAAGAATGGGGGCCCGAATTAAGCCAATGAGTTTGGCTTGCTGAGAGGTAGTGGAGGGGGGCAGAGCAGTAACTTCAATGATTGATGTGGAAAATACTATAGCATAGCCTGCCTTTGCTGGTGTGTGGCAATTAAGCCTGGTGGAACTGCCATCAATAAACCAAGTGTGATCAGGGTGAGGAACAGGAAAGTAGGAAATATGGGGAAATGGGGTGAATGTCAGGTGTATCATAGAGATATAGTCATGGGGGTCAGGTGTGGTATCAGGAACAATGTGGGAGGCTGGCTTGAAGTCCAGGCCAGGAACAATGGTAATTGTGGGAGACTCCACAAAGAGAATAACTGAAGGAGCTGGGAAGCAGAAAGTATATGTGTCAGGTATGAGGAAGAAAATAGATTTTGGAAGTTATGAGAGCTGTAGAGAGTGAGTTGAGCATAGTTTGTGATTTTGAGGGCCTCTAAAAGTATTAAGGCAGCAGCAGCCACCACACGCAGACATGAGGGCTAGGCTAAAACAGTAAGGTCAAGTTGTTTGGACAGAAAGGCTACAGGGCATGGTCCTGGCTCTT